TCAGATATCTCAAGAAGCGCAAGGAGTACAAACATGTACCTTTCCTGGGATTACTGTCCTCTAGGGACCAAACTAACTTGTGGAAATACAAGTACCAGGATGACCTAAGTAAAGAAACTAATAGGATACTCTGAATTTGTATCTTAAACATTTTTTCCATGCCATGCTGTAGAAATACAATGGAAGTAGAATTGGCAAATACCATCCATATGCTACACTACAAAATGACTGACAGAGCACAAAGTGAACATTACTCCTGGACTGAATCAAGAGAATGCATTAAAAAAATGCATAAGTGGAATACTGATACACATTAACTCAATCTTCTCTTATTATGGAATTAAAAAACTTATACCTGTAATTATGGCTTACCCCCATTACAAGCAGAGCTGCCACAGAACTGAACACTGGCCAGCTTTGTACATGAGTTCAAAGCCAGTGTGATGTTGCCTTATTTTCTTACTAACATCATCTTTATCCTCTCTTGCCCTTCTTCTCAGTTAACAAGAGTTATGTACTGAAAGTGCTGAGATAAAGTAATGGTAAGGAGGATACCGCAAAAGGTATTTGAAAAGCAGAAGTAATTTACTACATGTCTGCTTTGTTTTACTTCCTAAGCCTTCCTGTTGTGAAAGAAAATTCATCTTTTCTGGCAGACTCCAGCCTTTTTAGGCCTGAGAGCTCCCCAGGAGCTTTCGAGTGCAGGTAAATGGATGTAAGACTCAAGGAGTATAGTACAAGGAACATGGAATTAATGTTGGTTTTTGCTTTGGCTGTCACGTCTGACGTATAAGGAGAGTGCTACATCCTTGCTTGCAAGTATCTAGATGTAAAAAACACAAGGCTGAGTCCTCTGCTCATTACTATGGGTCTGAAATGCCATGAATGGAAAGGTCATGTTGCTGGTGGGTGAAGCATGTAGGATCTACACCCAGCAAAGTCTCCACGTGAGACAGATGTCAGGGTGCTCCAAGCCTCAGGGGCCCGTGATGTAAAAGCGCAGAGGAAGGACTGTGGATGGACAATAGGTGCAGCCTGTATTCTGCACGCAGCAGAGACCCCAAGAGTAGGCACAGGGGAAGCATCCACTGCCTAATCTAAATAGCACACAGAGTGGTTTTGTCCTCTTCTGTTCTCCTGCCAGTTTGCACATATGTTCTGAGCATACAGCCTGCCCTCCAAAGACCACTTACAGGGGCAATCACAAGGAAGCAAAGCAGGAAGAAAGTACCCAAAAAGGGAATTTGTTCAAGAGAAAAAAATGGAGACAGATGTAGAGCGACTAGTCACGGCTGGCGGTAAATAACCCTCTGCCTGGAGTGCTCTCTTTCTCTAAGAGGAGTTCACATATTCCATTTCATATTTCCTTTCTAGGAAGTAAAATCTTTGTTTTCCTGGCATTTGTTCTTTTTTTTCTTTCCCCTATATACTTTTTCCCTTCTGTATGGTCTAAAATTGTCTTCTCATTTTCCCTTTCTCTTCTACGTTGTGCTCTCTTTCAAGTGCGACATTTCTCCAACTGCCCCCTCACACAGACCTAATTTCCCTGCAACTGTCCTAGGCAACATCTTTCACTATAACCCTCTCACAGTCTCTGTGCCGTGAGCACTCCCCTCTGTCTCTACATGTGCATAAACATACGGGTGCTTCACATCTGTTCCCGCGTTACAGTCCCCACTTTTTCTCATGTGCACACCTCAGAATTAAGCAAATGCAACATACACAGACAGAATATTCATCCTCTCATTCCCATAAACCTGTCAAGGCATATAGGCCAAGAAGCTATCTCTGCATAAATCTAAATCTCCTGCGAGGAAGCAATCTACTCAAAGGCAATAAAGCCAAAGGATATATTATTATCTTTGGTGTGGATCCTACTGGGCTGGGAAGTTGGCTGCTGGCTCCTTTCTGAACTTTCCTTCCCAGCCAGAACAGCCATCCCACAGACAAGTCTAAGCTTCCTTTCCTTGGTCTGATTTCCTCCTCCCGTTGTTTGGCTGGTAACCCAAAGGACAGGGTTTAATTATGGAGTTTGGAAACCTGGCTTACGCTACTCTGCCAGCACAGGATAAAACTTCATCCTGCCTTCAGAACCAGCATCATTCTGCACTGCTGATACCTGCATTATCCCACGCAGCATAAAATGAACCACATGGAAGAAATGCCAAGTCAAACAAAAAGATGGTTTTAGTCTTTAAACTTCTACTGCGAATTTCACTGAGAAAAAACCAAAACACTGAAGCTCAGAGATTATTGTATGTTAAAACTGCCCGCATTTTGACCATAGATTAAATAAATGGCAAGGCCTTTTTCTGGACAGGAGAGACATAGGAACAGATGGATCTGAAACAGGTCCAGGGTCCAAAGCCCCCCTCTCAGAGAGGAACGCTGTGGCAAGTCACTGGGTAATATGGGACGTTAACATCATTTGTACGGCTTTCAGATGACCAGTATATTTTCTAGGCAGATGCCACATTGAAGACTCATAAAACATTTTACACTTCTGGAGATAAAGCACCCATGTCAAATACAAAGGGCCAGACATTAATATCAGACCCACATGTGATTTATGAGGTAAGGCAGGGAACTGTGCACAGCACCACAGCAGGATGTGTCCCTCAGCGGGGAGCACCTTGTGCCAGTGTCACCCTGGCATCAAAAGACACTTCAGTACTGTTTTGTCCTTCACCACTGATGAGCTGTGGCTCTTTAGGTAATCTCTCTGCCAGCCGTGCTCTTGCAGTGACCCTGTTTTACACAGAAGCTGAGGCAATGAATTCAGAGAGGCTGCTGGAAAGCCACGGCAGAAGTATTGGGGTGGGGCTGTGTGGATATAGCATAAAGATGGTTTGAAAGTGCATCCCATGCAGGCAGGATAAAGCTCTTTTTCTTCACAGCTGTGACAGTGATAGATAGCTTGGTGAATCTGAGCTATATCTAGTTGGTACCTGGCTTGAGTCCCTGATGTTGCAAGGTGATTTTCTGCCATTTTACAGGCAAGTCTAAGCAGAATCTGGGATTCTTCTGTAGTAAGTGAGGAAGGTCATGAGGAAGGAATAACCTTCTCTTCTCTGACTTGTTCTTGCCTCTCTAAGCACCTCAGGAAGTTTGACACGGGCAGTTGTGCTTCTTCATGATGAGCACCCAGCGGTGTCAAGAGTGGCGGAAGTGCTTTGGAGGTGTAAGGCTTTAGATACTTCTCTTGTCCAGCTCAGCAGCTCAGTGCCACCATCTAGCCAGGACTTGGATGAGACAGAGATGATGACCACATGTGGGGAAAACCACCAGAAGTGACATCAAAATTGATAGCCAACCTCTGGCTGTTGCACAAATGGAGAACATTTGTCATTAACAAAGAGTACCCCAAACTTTGGGGGGAGTTAGCCCCTACTCTGACAATGATGTAGAAGCAGTGACCCAGTCAGGTTTTAGCCATCTGTGTCTGCAGAGGAGGTTGTGATCTCTCCCTTTCAATGGGCACTGAGCTTTTGTTCATGTTTTTGCCGCTCCATGAGTAGACCAGTTTAGTACAAGGTGAAGCTCTGCCTTACATCATCTGGAGCCTGGAGCTGATGGAGGAAACAGCCCCTAGTGTCTACTGAGCAGGACACCTCACTGAAATCACCAGAGCCCTGGGGATGGTGGCAGCAAGGCAGTCACGGGGAGCCTGGCACTTGTCTGCCTGCAGGTCCACCCTCTCTGCCTGCCAAAGTGCCACATCTGCAGTCAATAAGGGCCCACAAGCTGGCTCCTCCTCATTAGAGGAGAGAGGGCAGCTGGCAGGGGATCCTCCAAGGGCTCCCAGGCACGGGAATCAGTCCCCTCCCAGTCTGGAATAGCCCAAATTTGGTGACTTTCTGGGCACGCTGTAAAGGACAGCTGTTTGACAGGGTCTCCAGAGAAAGCTGTGGGTATGTTTCCTACACGATGAAGGATATAGGTGGCTGGCCAAGTGCCCACAGAACTGATTTTAATGCTGTTCAGGTTGAATTTACTTTTCTGTGCTGTATAGTTCATTATACACAGTGCCCTGGACAAGCATGTGTTGTTTCAAAACAAACCAAAACCATACTATTTTAAATCCAAACAAGCAAGAAAGAAAAAAAAAAACATATTGCGAAAGATCCTTTGGGCTATTTAGAGGGCCCTCTCAAATACTGGAGGCTGAAGATGAAAGCTCTGCTTGCCTTCATCTAACAAATAAGACTTCTGTTACTTTTATTGGCAATAAATACTTGATTATTTAGCTGTAAGCAAAATTGAGGCATTAACTTCACCTATGCATGTAGCACTGACCCAGAAAAATATTTCCAATAGTATTAAGCACCCAGATGATCTCAGGATAAGTGATCGATGGACAGTTAAGTATGTAACATAACATAACCCAAAAGATGATTAACAAGAAAGATCACACACAAAAATTAACTGAGAAGAGGCAGAAGAGCTGCTTCCTAAACCTTATGAAGTGTAACGCCCAGTGATATCTATTTTGATATGACGCCTCCAATCACACTTCATAGTATTACAGATTAATAAAACAACTCCTTCTGTAAGTCTCTTAAAAGTCATTACTAAGTGAGCTCAAGTGTTGTATGATGCTTGAAAAGTCCTTCTACCTTATATAAGTTTAGGGATATTAATTTAAACAGTATAACTGCAGGGCACAGCCTAGGCAGGTACTGCTTTTTGCTAAGTGATTGTCACTGCTATCCCAGAATTGAATGTGGACATTTTGACAGAAAAAGACCACCTATCTTTTGCTGCATTATTCAAATACTTCAGATATTTGGCCAAAATACAGAAGTGACACACTACAGAAACATTCACAGCTGCAGGAGTAATAAAACCACTACAATATTTTCATTAGACTGACCTTTTCTCAGAAGAAGTTACAAGATGTTTAGAATTGATCACCTTTCTATACAGCATTCAGTGTATTCTGATAACAAAACAGAGCAACTGGAGATCATGTTCTCAGGCTCCTGAAAGCCGTGGCTTACCTGGCTCCACTTCATGCCATCCACTTGACTGGCTGCCACTTCCTGGAGAGCGCCCTTGGCTTGTATAAAACGGCTCCTCACCAGGACTGTCCATCTCATCCTCCACAGACTTGAGACGTTTTGTAGAGCTGAAAAAGTAAAAACACATAATAAATACTCTATGTACGGAAAGTAACAAAGGCACTTCTGTTGGCACATATCTTGCTAGCCCTGCTTGAGACTAACTTGGTTATGGAAACTATAACAGATGTAGGGCCCTGAGAAGGGGAAGGTGTGAGTCCTGCACAGCCATCCTGCCCGCCCAACTTCTCAGCATCCACTTCTTGTTTCTGATTTGCTTCATTGCTAATGACTAAACTTCAGTGAGATACAAAACAATCTCTCACAGAGTCCAGACTGAACCCTTAAACATGCATTAGTTTAACTAGAATATAGTTTAATATTTAGGCTTTTACAGATCAAAAAGTAGGACATTTTTCAAACTTCTATTTTCAATCTTTTAACCATAGCCATTAAATTAACCCAGACTTCAGTCCCATAAGAAGAAGCGTAGACAAGTGAACGGTGGAAAAATCCATTCTTGGTTCAAACGTTCACGTTATCCTACAAGTATAAGCATTTTACTCTGCAACTGTATGCCACCAAGCATAAAAAGCCCCCAACAGGTATCTCTGGCTAGTGTCAGTACTAAAGGATTCCCTTGTGATATATCACACCTCCCTCACCAAAGACTCAGGAGACAGAAGAGCCCTTTCAGTGGTCTCTGGTGGCCACTGACTCAGAGTCTGGTAGTTCCGCAGGGAGAGGATCCCAAAGCCAAAGACACTCAGCTTGGCTCTATTTTCTATAATGAGTTGTACAGACTGCGTGGGGACGTTACCGAGAATTTCTCTTCTAAGTACTATTCCAAGGCTGGGTCAGCTCACTTTTTTCACCAAATCTGTATTCTATTAAGACTTAAGGCATTCAAGAACAGGCTCCTCTGTGTAGGGGGAATGTATTTAACAGACATAAAATATTCCACTGCAATTTCTATTGGTTTAAAACTTGCAGCCTCTCTGCAGCTCCCCACCCGAAGCTCTGCACAGGTAGGAGCTGGCGGGTATGCAAAATCAGTTTGTGAGAAACAAGAAGAATAATTCTTGCGGTATGTGTGGAATGCAGGTTTGGCCATTCCTTAATTTAGAGAATTGTTATGTGTCAATAGGGGAAATTGTGTGCATACAATATAATTACCGCCTGATAATTCTGCTGAGTCTGTGTATTTAAGGAATATTTTTTTTTTTTCTGACTGGGAACAGCCTAATGAGAGGAAAACAAACATATTACCAAGTTATTAACTACCCATGCTGTTTATAATTAGCTCCTTATCAGTGGTAGCTATTTGCAGAAGAACAGAAGAGCAACAACTGAGCTCTTAAGTAACATTAATAACCTCACTTTTTTGCTTCTGGAGTCACAACTAAATTCTACCTGAGAATGGTGCTAATGATAAGCACTGTAGGGTACACAGTTTATACGCAAAAAAGAAAGAGCACAAAGTTTTTATAATTGATATGTAATGGGAATTGTAGTCACCGAGCTTCATAATGTGCACACTAAGTGCAAAATGTAGAATGTTCTTCCAATCACTGCAAACTGTAAGAAGTTATTGCTAAGAGCCTCTCTTTAAAGATTTTTTTTTTTAAATAAAAACAACAGCTATATTCAAACTATAGAGACTTTTTACATGTGCGCTTGCTTACTGCAAAGCTGGTGGCACTGCAGACTGAGATAAAAACGTAAAAGAACCCTGGGCTGAAGTCAGACTTCCTTGTCATGTCTTTGAAATAAGTGATCTATTTTGGCTGAAGGGGACAAAAAAAAATCAATCTGGTTCCTTAATAGTGTTCAAGACTACCAGAGTGACTGGACTTGTTTATAAATCTAATCTCATGGATGGTTAAAGTGAAAGGTAAAAAATAAAAAATATTCTTGTTTGATAGTTGCCATCTAAGCCAAAATCAAAATCAGACTGGGTAGTCATCTGCATTAACAATTCAGTTTTCCAAAGGCTGTGTCACAAATTTCTAAATGCTATATGAAAATTAGAATGCATTATAGGCCAAGGTCCAAAAACGATGTTAGTCTCACAGATAACACTTTTTATGATAAAAGAATGCATATAAGTCTATCTTAAGACTTTCCTGCTATGACAAAGTGGCACATCTCAATATGCTCCAAATTCTCTTCTGCCACAAGTGAAACTCCAACAATTCTAGTGGAACTTCTCCTGATACACCGAGATACAAGCCAGAAGTTATGCAAGTCAATGCAGCAGTTTTTCTTCGAAGCTTGTACATATAAAAAGAACCTTAACAGCAATCCAGTTGAACATTTGGCTCTGTGAATCTGAAACAGCTCCACATCTTGAGGCCCCCAAACAGCTTGTCAAAGAATTTAATGGTTACTTTCCCAGATGAGTAATGATGCTGGCCTGGGTTTCCAAGTAACCTGGTAGTAGGCAGAGATTAAATTACCTGGTAGAGGATGTGCTAGGTAAAGACCTCCTCATTGCTCCTGGGCTCATGCTGTAGTATGAAGAACTTTCCAAATCTGAGAGGGAGAAATTAGGACCTGTTCCTGCAGCTATCGGTGCTGGGGAAACAAAAGAGATTGCAGTCAGTAAGTCATGTGAATAAGGCACGAATTGCACTTTCTTCTTCCTCATGAGTGTGTTTCGTTTCACGATGAGAACAGATGGGGTGTGGAAATTATTAGGAAATACTAATGGTAACCGGCATTGCAATCAAGAAGATGTAAATTTACCAAGAATACAATGTTCCACGACATAGACTCTTTCTTACATTCCTCCAAAGGTATTCTTTTTTAAAAAAAATTTAAACAATTATGGCAAGACTTTCTTTAAGCACTGCTTTTCTACTAATATCTTTCTAACATTTAATCAAACTTGTTGCTTTTGCTTTTAGGACAACATCGCATCTATTGGCATAGTTACAAATAGGCTGCATCATCCCTGTAGCGTGCTTGGCATAATCTATAAGCAGTACAGGCAGGGAAATACACACTTCAGGACCTTTGGTATATACGTGATGTACATCACAAGCACAGAGGTTACAAATGCTCCTTGGAGAAAGCACAAAAGCAGATGAGAAACCTGAGTTCTTTTCTGCCTGTGAACATCTGAGTTTTCCTCTGGCCTCTCCTCCAGCTACATCAGAGCTAGAGACATACGACTCTCAAAAACTTTTATCCAGCATTTAGCTTCCACTGTTCACCTCTCATTACCTTATCCAGCACCTAAGTTTTATAGTAAGGTATATGAATACCTTTAATTTCCCTGTCCTAGAGCCTTGGTTTTACATTAAAACATAATGAATTCCTACACACCCTGAAGTTTGCAGGCACAAGCCTATGAACGCCATGTACCTTATTCTTCTGGGAACAGAACAGGAACAGAGCAGTTTAATGTTAAAGTCAACAGAAAATGCATTTCACGAAGAAATGCCACTATATGGCAAATGGTACCATATCCACTGTCGCTGTTCCAGTACTATTTACAGGACAATACAACTTTGGGAGCTGACAATTACAGATCATGATTTTCTCTCACATTTCAGAGACATCTGAAAAAGGACGTACTGCACAATTAAATGCACAAGCTTGGCCTGGAACGTATTGTCTGAGAGCCCTGATTCACAGCAACAAAGGCGAAGCAGTCTCAATGCCACACAAGGATGCTGAGCCAAGTTTAATCTTTGGTCTGAGAATCTGGCCCATTTTCAACCATGAAAAAATCTTTCACTCTGACGGGGCAGGAGTGAGGAAATGAAGACAGGATAGCTCCTATCACCCAGCTAACATGTCTGGGCTGAAACGCAGGCTTCTGGGAGTGCTGCCATTGACTGTAAAGGGGCCAGTATTTCACCCCAAGTCTTAAGGAGCTCACAGTGTCAGATTTGACAGAGGAATAATGTAGCTTTGCAGCTGCCTCATCATCCCCACAAGACAATTAGTTGTTGTTTGGCAAGGATCTTTTAAGAACATCATTGAGACAGAAAGGGAACAGCCTGGATAGCCACGGACTTTTAAAAGCATGGGACGGAAAATACACAACGCCATTAAAACTTGAGAAAATCTGGAATGATCATTAAAAGGAACTAAGTTGGGAAGTAATTTATGACAAGAACACTCAAATCCTTTGTTATCTTCTCTTAACTATCATATGCTTCCTGCACACTGGGTATATGAGAGGGTGTGTTAACAGAAAGAAAGAAAAATTAAGCATAGTAAAATTAACTCATTTTATCAATTTGTGCTTTCTGCAACAGTTTCCTGACAGCAGCTACAGGAGGCTGTAAAACTGATGAATTTGCATGGAAAAAGAAACCGGTGTAAGTAATTTGTGTAAAAGGTAACACGGACATGGACTGCTATAATTCAGACACCCTGCAGATAGCAGACTGCTGCAGTGTGAGCAGTTATGGGTTAGAAAAATGACCACACTGCAGTCAGTCTGACTTGAATGGAAATCAATCATAAAGGTACTCTCTGCAGCATCTACTCCACAGTTTTCAGCAACTTCTTTGCCAAACAGATTTGTGGTCTGTAAACCCTTTGCTGATCAATTCCTCTGCACCCTCTACCTACCAAAGCCTAACTTACAGGTTAAGCATACTATTTTCCAAACAGGAACATAAAAAGGCAAGCACTAAATTAAAGCACCGTTTCTTTCTGAGGCACAATGAATTTCCTAGCTTTGCAAGATTTATGAAACAGTTTTATTCCAAACAGATATGGAAGAAAAACTGGTATCTGGATAACGTTTCTCTTCTTTCTCTCACTTCCCTCTGTTTATCACTCTCTCCCCAAATCCTGGACGTTTCTGTTCCAACCCTTGACTTGGCCCTGTAGGAAAATGAAATGTATCTCCAGACCAGGGGTGGGGTAGAAACAATGTATTGCTAATGCTGTGTAAACTCAGCACAAAGTAGAAAGGGCTAATCACACAGTAATTTCCGCCCAGGTAGCAAACATGAAGGATGCTTTGTTTGTCACAGGCCAAACCACCTTGCCATACTCAGGAGCCTGTTGCCACCTGAGGGTTAAAGAACAAACCCCACCTCTAATATACACCAACAGATCTAAGCAGCAGAGGTTAAAGTGCCTGGCTGGTCTGTGGTGGCGAGTACCTGAAATCCCTTGGCAGTCCTTACATAGGAGCCACGATCCTGCCACAACCAGCTCAAGGTCTCTGGCCCTAGCAGTGCTGTGGCAAACATTGCACAGGGCTAAGCTGTTCTGAAATCCTTTCCTCTGCCTGCCTGACAGGCACATATTCGGTGCCTGTCTTTCAACAAAGGGTATTTGTATCTTTGCTTGCAGTTACTCCATTTACTATCATAAAACACAGCAACGTGCTGACGCATAGAGCCCACCCTGAGACTGTCAGGGAGAGGTTAATGTTTTTCATTCGCATGGCAGAAGGTTGCTTCCTCTTCCCGGCTGGAATTTGGTTGAAGCCATGAATGCTTTCTGTCTCTGCTTCAGCCTCAGCGGAGCTGAGCCACACCTTGCAACTCCTGCGCTGGGCTTCGGCTGCGGGGAAGCTCACTGCCTGGCATCTGCCTCTAGTTACCCTTGTGTTTTGCAGTGCAATGTGCCATGAGAGTGGGCGCGGTGCAGCTAGCCCAGCCAGGAGGCATCCGAGTCTGCTCCAAATGGCTTTTCACACTGCCTTTGCAGACTGTCCACCTTGTATGGGCCCAGAAAGCTGATGGAAAGGCAACACTTGTATTTATTTGCAGGATTCCCCGCAAAGGCTGCAGCTCCAGAGAGTAAGTAAAGGGACCCAAGTGCAAACTGTGGCAAAACTCTAAATTAACCCTCTTCATTGTAGCATGTGATGATCCACCATGCAACCTCCCTACACCCCTCTTCCTACACCCCAGGAACAGGCTCTGCCCCCACACGAAGCGGCAGCATGGTTGGGAAGCTCCACTCCAGGACAGCCGGCTGTTACACGCTGCAGCCTGCAGAAACTCCAGGCAACGACATTAAAAACACTCCATTTCCCCCCTTAAGAAATGTTCTGCAGCAAAGTGACCTTCTGATAGTTCAGGAACATCTCCCAAACAGGAAAGGATGTCAGAAATTGCGGTTGCAAGTCAAAACAATAGTCTCCACCTACTGCCGGCATCAAGGTGTCATCTGACCCAGGGCTCCGACCTGGCAGGGGGCAAGGAGGAAGGACCCCTCTTCCCCTAACACTCAGCCCACTGATGTGTGCAGGCTTTCTAAGCAAACAAACTGATGCCGGCCTCAGCTCCCAATTTCAGCTGCTGGCATCACAAAAAAATCCCTGTGCAGATGCGACACGTTTCGCTCGTTCTGAGGGCAGGAGGAGCTAGTTTGCCCAAAAGGAGGAGGAGGAAGAAGGTGGGCGCCTCTGCCTGAGCACCATCACTGTGCTACTCCTGGGGACACAGGGCAGCAACGCCCCTGCTGCCAGCCTACTCTCTCCGCTGCCAGCTTGTTAGCTCAGATCTTCACCCAAAATGTCAAGAAAAATAACAGAGAAATTAACAAAAAGCCCTCTGACTTAACCCAATTGGAATATTTATTTTGAAAAATTTATTGAATTACAGAACAGGAAACCCACTAAATAAAACCAGCTAGGCTGGCATTTGTCTTCCTTGGACTACGGCACTCTCTTTTAGTCATGTTAATATTTAGTTTCTCTTTTTACCATTTTCATGTATTTATTTTTACAAAGGGGATGGGATGTGACTAAGATCATTACATGTGTTAACACTGCAGCAAAGTGATAATGTGTTTAAGGTTAAATGGGAGAAACATGACATTTGACTAATAAACTTTTTCCTGTGTTGTGACTCCATAAACAAAGGGAAACACACTGTACTGCTGCTGCCGAGAGGAAAGGGGAGCTGGTTTGAGTTTTTTTTTTTTGCAAGGCCTTTGTTTCCTACACACTGTATCGTTAGATTCGAAGAGGTTTTGCCGAATACAACAGATATGAAATGTGTGATGTTCATTTTAAAATTACAAGTACAGCCTGCTATTGACCATCTAATTATGCTGAGTTCCATTTATAAACATAGCTAACCACTAAGTTTATAGAGACTTTTTGTGCTGCTTTAATAGGATATTGATCGAGAGCAAGGTTTGAGTGGACTGCCATTGAATTGTGTAATGGCATACAAAAGGCAAGGTCACGGCAACTGTTCACTCTATGCCTGCAGTCTATTTTTTATTATAATCTTTTTTTCTTCCTCCCATACCTAAGCCCAAACAGTGTGTTTTGGATAGCAGTGCTTTGCTAAGGAATACAGAGTATCTTTTTAAATGTTAATTTTCATGCTGCTGACTTTAACTACCTTCACTACTGTAATGCTTAGTATAGCAGAAAACATACAGGCTGCTGTTTAGAGCTGTTTTATTATACCCCGGCTTTCACACATGTGCTCTGCATGGAGGAGAGCCTCTTCTCCTCTCCTGGGCTACAGGAAGGCAGCAGCATCCTCCCTGCCCTTTGCAGCTGCCTGCCTGGCCCAGACCCATGACAGGAGCCGGGGCACCCCACACCTTGCCATAGGCATCCAGTATGTGCTGGGGAT